AATTGTAAATTGGAGTGTCTGATCATTTTAAAAGTTTTTAAACAAGTTTGGGACCAGAAGTTCTGGTCAAAGCTGACTGATAGATCTACCTCCCATTTTTCAATAGGGATTACTATTCTATCGTCTATTTTGGACAGTGTCTTATATACTTTAGACAGTACCTTGGGGGGTTTGAGATTAAAGAAGTCTAATACCCTTGGTGGTGTTTGTAATTCTATTTTATTTAGCTTAAATTTTTGTTTTACTACAGATTTAATTTGGTGGTATTCTAAAAAGCTATTCTTATCTATTCCAAATTGGGAGACTATTCTATTAAATGGGATGAAGTCCAATCCTTCATATATGTGTTCCAGGTATAGGATTCCTTTATTTTTCCAGTCCGGAAGGTTCATCATTTTATTCTTTTGCAAAATATCAGGATTATTCCAGATAGGTGTGCGTCTGCATGGTACTAGTGAAGACTGTCATTTTAAGATACTCCCACCATGCTGTCAGAGAGGTGCTGATACTAATACTTTTGAAGCCTTCATGTTTTCTTATGGTTGAGCTAATAAATGGTAAGTCAGAAAGCTCTATCGTATTGCAAAGTGTCTGTTCTATATCTAACCAGGACTCATCTAGTGGGTTATCTTGCAACCATCTTGGTATATATTGCAGCCTGTTGGCTAAGAAATAATAATAAAAGTTCTCACCCTATCTCTAAGGGAGAGCCCAGCCACCCTGCGGAGAAAACTCATTTCGGCCGCTTGTATCCGCAATCTCGTTCTTTCGGTCACCACCCAAATGTCATGACCATAGGTGAGGGTAGTGTAACGGAAACAAAGTGATGTAACTATCTAAAGTTGTATTTTAATACACTGTTAGTAGTTCACTTTTATAAACAGAAGAATAGGCTGTTTTTATCATCAGGGAGTTTAATTAAACACTCTGTATTGACCTTGAGACAAGAAAAGAGAGAGATGGGATCGTTTGAGAATCTTTAATTTCTGAATTATAAATTCTAAACAATCTACCAGGACTACTCTGTGATGGATGAGAATGGATTCGGATGTTGTGTTGGTGCGTGTGTGTGTGTGTGTGTGTCTGGTTCAGATTCTCTAGGATGACGTAATCGAATCTGGTCGTCTTTGTTATGACTAGATATCACGAGGCTTATAAAGTGATGACATGAGCCGCTATTTTGCCGTGTACGTACCCAGTGGGGGTCTCCCAGGTAGATCAGGAAATGCCAGGTCTGGAAACCTCGGATGTACGATGGAGCTGTCGATGCAGCGATCACAACGTTTCAAAGCCCGTCTGGAGGGTCGACCCCGGTACCGTTCAGCGGCGTCAGCAGGTGCTCTTATTTTGAAAGGACGTCGCCTGGTTGTTAAACGACGAAAATCTCCCGTTTCACAGTTCTTAGTTTAAAGAAGAAAACACATCTGGACAGGCTGCGCTTTTCTTTAGGATGATGGTGAATAGAACTGAAGTCAAGATGGAACTGACTTAAAATGGCGTTGCCTTGTTTTATATCTCTGAATTGTTGATAAGTTGGAGTAAAGTGGATTGGACACTTGAAGTCAACACCAGATTCTCCTGCGGCAGCCGAAAGCTCTGATTGGTTGGAACAATGTGTCATGCGTTTCTATGGAGATGAGGATCAGTATGTCTGTGCCGTAGTCCTGGTTTCATTAAACATAATTCATGACATATTTATTTCACAGATCATTCACTCTATTATTGTTGATCAACATCTGTTTTGCTTAATAATTTTAATCACAAATAAAGTACTTTGATTAAGTAAAGCTTCTTCTTCTCCTTCGGACTCTTCTCCTGGAATGTAAACAGTCTGAGGAACACCCGACCTTGGTTTTTCTACACGGTGTTATTGTGCCCAGGGGGCAGCTGTATGTAGTTGAAAACAATGAACTTCATAACCTTACATATCCCCCCTTTTCAAGGTCAATGTGGTCCTTCAAGAGACCACTTGGCCGTTGAACAAACCCAAGTTATGAAGAATCTTGACAACAGAACAGGATGCGATCCCAAGGGAACAGCCATCTGTGGTGAGGCACGAACCCCACGCCGGAGAACAGTCTCGCATACTCCTCAGGAAGAACACAAGTCAGCAGGTTATTAATTATTCCCCATGGAAGCCATAAACGAAGCAGCAGCACCGTCATATCCCCACGGGCAATAAAGCAAAGCAGGAGCAAATCTTGAACGTATCCACGAACAGGGTAGTATTCCAATTAAAAATCGATTGTTGTATCCGCAGGCAGGGCAATATTCCAAATAAAAATTGAACTTTGAAAGAGTACTTATCGTAATCCACAAAAAGGGAAGAGCAGGTGACAGTAATCCCAACGAATGAGGTGTCCCAGCAGCCATGCCGGAACCACAGTCGTCCAAGGCCAACGAGCCGGAGCACCCTCAGGAGTAGTCGATGCAGATGACGAGTCACGGATCCACCCCCAGGACGCAGGATCCTCATAAGCTCAGCAGAGGAGAGAGAGCACAGTGTAGGCACTTCAATGTAGACACGACAAAAGTGCATTTCATGTCATCAAAGAAAAAAAAATAATAAAAACCTAACTCTATGAGTGCCTTTTGTACTATGTGTTAGTTTTAAGTGTAATTACCCTTTAAGTGAAGAAATGGATGCAGCCCTGACTGTGTAAGATGCAAAAAGGAATGATGCGAGAAGCAGAAAAATGAAAGAAACCCTAACTGGTATCAGTGAATCCTCACTGTAAATACTTGTGTCAGGACAGGGGCTAAATTGGTTATAGTCCCGCAGGATAAATCAAAGAATTGATAATCACAAACATAATTTTTCACTGTTAAAATCAACTGGTCAAAGGTACTATAAAAAACAGAAATGTAAATCAGTACTAAAATGTAAATCAGTGGTTAGTAATCATGTTCATGTTAATGTACCCCTAAGGAATTGTGATTAGTAAAGATAAAAAAAAACAAAATTTTGGACAACAGTACTATGTGACCTAATCCACTCACTGTTACCTGACTCCAGGAGCCCACAGCACGTCCGTCTCAACACACCTTAAGTCTGCACGTGACATATAACAGGAAAGACAACCATGTACACTCACAAACAAACAAATTTGTGTAATCAGAGATAGAAATCTGTGGCACCAACGGGACGTATTTATCACCCCCCTTTGGAAGTCGGTGGATTGTTGTTGTTGGTATCGGCCAAATCTGTGGGACCCTTGTGCAGTTTGATATGGTCCCTGTGTACCCATTTGTAGACGGGTGCCTTGTTTTTGTCGGCGATCTTGATCTGATACACGACCGGAGAGATCTTATCTGTAATCAGGTATGGACCCGACCATCTGGGCAAAAGTTTCTTAGCCAGCTTCCCCGAGGTCGCATTGTTGTTACCCGTTTTGGGAGCGAAAATGTAGTACCAGGCCTGGTCACCTACATCGAGTTCGGAATGTGAGGCTTTCTTATGGTAATAAGTTTTTCTGCCTTCAGCTGACTTTTCCAGAGACGCCTGTGCGAACGAGAATGCTGCAAGCAGGTGATCTCTCAGGTCCTGCAAGTATTGGCCGCTTGTACACGCCGGGGCTGTGTCGGACGGAACCCGTCGTTGATACAGCAGGAATGTAGATCGACCGGTAAATCGAGAGCTTCGTCTTTTGACTAAGCTCACTCTTGACCACGACAGACCGGTACAATGCCCAAATCACTGCAGATGCAGCATCAATCTGCCAATTGAGCTTGTGCTCCAGGTCCCCAGGAACAAGACCCCGAGATACTTAAACTCCTCCACTTGAGGCAGGACTTCGTCCCTGACCCAGAGAAGGCATTCTACCCTTTTCCGAATCCAGACCATGGTCTCAGATTTAGAGGAGCTGATTCTCATCCCAGCTGCTTCACACTCGGCTGCGAACCGCTCCAGCGAAAGCTGAAGATCACATTCTGATGAAGCCAACAGGACCACATCATCTGCAAAAAGCAGAGACCCAATCCTCAGGCCATCAAAATGGATGCCCTCAACACCTTGGCTGCACCTAGAAATCCTGTCAATAAAGGTTATGAACAGAATCGGTGACAAGGGGCAGCCTTGATGGAGTCCAACTCTCACTGGGAACGAGCCCGACTTACTGCCAGCAATGCGGAACAAGCTCTTACACCGGTCGCACAGGAACCTAACAACCTGTATCAGAGGGCCTGGTACCCCATAGCCCCAGGGCCCCCTAAGGGAGGTCAAACACCTTCTCCAATTTCACTAAACACATGTAGATTGGTTGGGCAAATTCCCGCGCAGGATCCCCCTAAGGGTATAGAGCTGGTCCAGTGTTCCACGGCCAGAACAAAAACCGCATCGCTTCTCCAGAATCTGAGGTTCAACAATCCGACGGACCCTCCTCTCCAGAACCTCTGAAAAGACCTTACCAAGGAGGTTAGGAGTGTGATCCCCCTGTAGTTGGAACACACCCTGCGGTCCCCCTTTTTAAATAAGGGAACCACCACCCCGGTCTGCAAGTCCAGTGCGACTGCCCCCGATGTACACGCGATATTGCAGAGCCGCGTCAGCCAACACAGCCCCGCAACATCCAGAGCCTTAAGGAACTCTGGGCGGATCTCATCCACCCCTGGAGCATTGCCACAGAGGAGCTTTTTAACCACCAGTTGTATGGACTTCTTGCTCCATGGTCATACCAAACTCCTCCCATGCCTGGGGTTATGCCTCCGTGACCACCCGAGTCACATTCTGCTTGGACTACGATACCTGTCAGCTGCCTCTGGAGTCCCACAGGCTGAAAAGACCTGATAGGACTCTTTCTTCAGCCTGACAGCATCTCTAACCGCCAGTGTCCAACAGCAGGTTTGTGGGTTGCCGCCACGACGGGCACCAATGAACTTCTGTTGGCCATAATCCATATTTTTAAATAATAACATAGAAAATGGGATGGCACTGCATTTTAACCAAACACTGACTGAATCAGAGGCTACCTTGTGATTTCTGTCTGTTCTGTCTCCATCAGACACAATGGCCTCATCCACCCCTCTATCCAAGGCCAACACCAGCTTCTCTCTGGATCTGCTCAGAAAGCTGAGTGAAGACAACTCAACTGCAAACATCTTCTTCTCTCCTTTCAGCATCTCTTCAGCTCTGGCTATGGTGATGCTGGGAGCCAGAGGAGACACGGCCACACAGATATCAGAGGTACCCAGCAGTGTGTTTCAGTTTGATCCTCCTCACTGTGCCTCTATGTGACACTACTACTTTGTCCGCAGTGTTTAAAAACTCAGGACTGCCGGGATGATGTCCACTCTCAGTTTGACAAACTGCTGGGAGAGCTCAACAAGCCAGGTGCTCCTTTTGCCCTCAGCTTGGCTAACAGGCTGTTTGGAGAACAGTCCTACCAGTTCCTTCAGGTCAGTGGGTGATGGCCTGAGCAAATAATTTGTTTTTATTAGAAAAGGTAAGTGGTTTAAAGATTTTTTTCTGACAGCGAATGAATTAGATCTGGTAGCTAACATTTTTATGATAATCTAAAAAAATGTGCTTTGTGTTTTCAGGAGTTTTTAACACAAACCAGGACAAACTACAAGTCTGAGCTGGTGTCTGTGGACTTCAGAACTAAATATGAGAAAACTAGAAACGAGATCAACAGCTGGGTGAAGAAGCAGACACAAGGTGGATCACCAAAGCCATATTTATACATCTCCGTCAGCTCCGCGAGGGAGAGACACACGGACGGATGGAGACAATTTGCCCTCATATTTCTCCGTCTCCTGGGGAATGTTGCAAAGCAATTCCCCACCAGGACAATAGAGGGCATAGCGCTGTTCTGTGGAATCCTGTCATGTATCCGGTCCAAGATAGTGTGTTTATATTGTGTTCCTTGTATATAAGAGACTTTTTAAACGCGGACAAATTTGTCACTCATCCTCCTCCACCTCTTCATGCGCTCGCCACCTCTAAACCCACATTTCCCGTCATTTCCGTCCACGAATAAAACGCATGCTGCGTATCTTTTCTCTCCTCCAGTCACGGGGACTAAATCGTTCATATTTTTAGAGTTTTTCCTAGAGGTATTCTTCAAGCTTCTCCATGTCTGCCGCTAGATATCCTTGGGTCTCTTTATGTTTTTGAGGGCGCAATGGTGGCGTTGTTTACAACAGTGGCGTTCTAACCAATCACAAGCTTACGTTCTCCGTCTCGATGGACGGACGTTTAGAATAGAATAGAATAGAATTCAACTTCATTGTCATTGCACATGTACAGGTACAGGGCAACGAAATGCAGTTTGCATCCATCCAGAAGTGCTTTAGCCGTGATATAGACGTATTACAATATATATTAGCAATAATATAGATGTGTAAGTATATTACAGAAATAGATCTATTACGTATGTTATAATGTACACGGTATGAAGTATGTTATGAATATTCTATGACTATAAGTATGTACAGGCTGTAGTTAATACAAGCAGTCCATGAGTTTAACGTGGGTCAGATGTCAGGAGGCAGGGTTCAGGAGTCTGACAGCTGTTGGGAAGAAACTGTTCCGGTACCTGGTGGTCTTAGTCCGGAGGCTCCTGTAGCGCCTCCCAGAGGGCAGCAGGGTGATCAGTGCATGTGATGGGTGACTGTGGTCTCTGATGATTTTCCCTGCCCTTTTCAGACACCGCTTCCTGTAGATGTCCTTTATGGCAGGAAGTGGTGCTCCGGCGATGCACTGGGCAGTTTTCCCGACCCTCTGCAATGCCTTCCAGTCCGAGGAGGAGCAGTTCCCATACCAGACTGTTATACAGTTGGTCAGGATGCTCTCGGTGGTGCAGCAATAGAAGTTCTCCAGGATGTCTGAGGACAGGTTGTTCTTCCTCAGAGTCCTCAAGAAGAAGAGGCGCTGGTGAGCCTTCTTGACCAGCTTGGAGCAGTTGGTATTCCAGGTGAGATCCTCGGAGATGTGGACTCCCAGGAACTTGAAGCTGCTCACACGCTCCACTGCCATCCCCTTAATGTGGATGGGTGGATGTGGGTCAGGATTCCTCCTGTAGTCCACGATGAGCTCCTTAGTCTTCTCAGTGTTGAGCAGCAGGTTGTTTGTGTCGCACCACTCAGTCAGACGGTCCACCTCCTCCCTGTAGGCGGTCTCATCGTTGTCACTGATGAGGCCAATCACCGTGGTGTCCTCTACAAACTTAATGATGGTGTTGGAACCATCAGCAGGTCTGCAGTCGTGGGTGAAAAGGGAGTAGAGGAAAGGGCTCATCACACAGCCTTGTGGTACACCAGTGTTCATTGTGATTGTTGATGAGCAGCGGTTATCCAGTCGGACATGTTGAGGGCGGTTGGTCAGGAAGTCCAGTAACCATTTGCAGGTGAGGGTCCTAAAAGTGGTGTTAAGGGCCTTCAGTAGGAGACGAACATCCCGGTTCATCCAAGGCTTCTGATTGGGGTACATGGTCATCCTTTTCTGGGTGGTGACCCTGTCTGTGGTAACGGAGATGTAATACAGTACAGATGAGGCGTACTGGTCCAGGTCTGTGTTGGTGAACATATTCCAGTCTGTGTTTTTAAATCTGTCCTGGAGCCTCCGGTGTTCTGGAGATCTCTGGGATGAGTCGGAGATCGGCGATAAAACTGTTGGAGTTTTAAGTCCAGATGTCCAGAATCTCTTGTCTGCTGTAGGTCAGCAATGCGCAGCAATTCTGGATTAATAATCCGGTTGAAAGTAGATGAAAACCGCTAAATAGCAGATTCTGGAGAGACACTGAGCCTTGCGTTGTTCATGCGCCGCCATCTTGGTCGTTTTTAGAAAAGAGCTTGACTCAGTCTGTCCTTGCAAGGGCTTTCCAGCAGCCTCGCAAGGACGGATAATGGCGTTGCGAGCGTCCGTCCCTACGCAGACGGAGAAGTATAAATTAGGCTTAAGACCATCATATGAACCATCAGTCACACATATGATGAAGAAACCTGCAGCTTCAGCAGTGTGGTATTGTGATGTTATTGATTCTTCTATTGTTCTCAGGTAAAATCAAGGGTATCATAGCTAAGGGTGAGCTGAACAACATGACCAGGCTGGTACTGGTCAACGCCATCTACTTCAAAGCAGCCTGGGATGAACCTTTTCTGAAAATGTCAACTTATAATGGCCAATTTTGGCTCAACAAGGTAAAACTGAAAAACCTCAAAGTCTGCCAGACACAATCTTTGTGCAAAACTCAGACATAGATTCAGTTATTTTCATGGTTCTCAGTGTTGTCACATCCAATAACTTATGTTTGGACATTAGGGATGTGTTTAGGTGAAATTCTGTAATATGATATGTATCATTCCATTCCATTTCCATTTTTTATTTCATGCAATCAAACAAAATTTACATTAAAACAATTCATGTTCAAAAATAATCCATAAATGAAAAGGAGCAGAAAGAAGCTAAAACTTATATCTGCCCCCTTAACACATCAGACATTAGCTGTTCAACTCAAAGACTGTCGTTCACCTACCCCCCACCCCCAACACAAACAAGTCTATCAGCCTACTTAAGGTCTTATTTCATCAAGATACGTTTGACGCCTGTTTTAAATACAGAAAATGATTTAGATAGTTTTATTTCACCGTCAAGACTATTCAATAAACGGACACCTTTAACGGAAATACATCTTTCCATTATCTTGTTTAAATTTCTTTTAAATATCAATTCCTTTTAAATTATTATTACTTTATCTTTTTACAAATCTCTTTTGAATATTTATTGGTAGAACTCCTTTCTGTGCTTTGTACATAAGTCTAATAAATTATATTCTACTAATTAGTCAAATTTCTTTAGGTCTAGTTGTGAAAACATTGGATCCGTAGGATCCCTATATCCACTTCCACTAACAACTCTCACTGCTCTTTTCTGTAAAAGAACTATTAAATGTGTAAATATTTTGCAGGTACTTCCCCATACTTCAATACAATGTGTCAGATATGGAAGAATTAACGAGTTATACAGAATACACAGCTTTTTTGTTAAACAATTCCTTTGTCTTATTTAGTACTGCAATAATTCGAGATATTTTAATTTTAATAGCATTTACCGTAAATCCTCTAATACAGGCCCGGGCCTGTATTTGACTCAAGCTCATCAAGCTCCAGGCCTTTATTGGAAGGAGGACCAGAATTAGAGGCAGGCCTCTATTTCCATTTGAGCAAAATGAACTAATGGTTCGCTGGAGTTTTTGACTGTTAAAATTGCTCCCACATTTTCAAAGTTAAACACATTTCTTTTAACAACGGTAGTTTCTGCTTCAGCCCCCCACCCCCACCCCCACCCCCCTCCACCTGCGCAGCGGCCGCAAACTGACTGATGCGCCTGCAGCCTCTCGGAGTTCCTGCTGTTCTAAACATTAAAATAATTATTTCATTTTCTGTTCCTCACTTCTGATTACCTTCAATGGTGTCTGTTTGTTGCAACCACCAGGTACAAAAACTAACTTGTTTTTATTTGACTATTTTTCTGTCCTGTTTGTTTATTATCTTCCTGCATCTCCTCTCAATCCTAAAGAGAAACTGCTAACTGGGTTCATATAAATTCACCTTATGAGTTACCTTTGAACTGCAGTTCTAAAAGATCTACCGACCGCAAAAACAGCGGAGTGCTTGCCGACCACATCAGTTAGGTGCGTCACGGAGGACAAAACAGGTGATGCGCCCTGATCCACAGCAGCGAAACGCATCAGGCACAAATAAAAGAATAAAAGACAGAAAACATAAAAGGAAATGAGCTGATATGAACGATTGCGTGTTAAATTATTTTTTGAGGTTTTGACACCTGATTTGATAATGTTGCTGTGGCTGTGCTCAGGACGCAGATGTCTGGAGCGCGTCAACAATCAGAGCTTTGCAAGTGCAAGCTGGTTAAATTTAGGATGGGGGTGAGGGGAATGTTAAATTGCAAGAGGGTAAATGTCACAATTTGGTTAAATGTCCGTTTTACGGCGGGTGTCAGTACCGACGCTCTGGTACAGCGCGTCGCCTCCCGACTGCATCTTGACGGTCATTATCACGTGACAGCGACTAGTCAATGACAGGCATAGCAAGTCACTATAGTGAAGTCGACTAGTTCATACAACCCCTGCTACTGCTCCCCAGAGTGTTCTGCAACATAATCAGCACGTTCTCTTTGAACTTGATATCAAATTTTTGCCTCCTCTTCGACTCCGCTTGGTTAAAGTTACCCTCCGGTCTATCACTGGCAAATCAAAAGTGAGACGGATGACACAATCACCCCCCGTACTTGCTTATTACCACATTCCACCCGGCCACAATAAAAAACTGGCCATTATTCACCTCCGCCAACTCCTACACTGGCCAAAATATGATACCCGGCAGTTAATTAAATACAGGCTAATATTAGAGGATTTACAGTATGTTAGACTTCCACAATAAATGTTCATCTATCACAACACCTAAAAACTTAATTTCTTTTACTATGTCAATTCCTTCAACATATAATGATGCATCAGCACAATACGATATATCACAATATATTGCGATACATTCACCCAGACGATATTAGTGATTTTTTTAAAACTGAAATTATTGTAGGAAAATTCAATAAACAGTCCAAATTGATACATAACATGATTAACATGAGGTGGAAACAAAACCTGTTGCACATTGCTGCCAACTAGCAGTCAGTGTTTGAATTTCACCAAAAGAAAAGAAAATACCCTAATGTTTGCATGCAAATTCCTCCAAAAATTCTATACACTGCTTTTGCATATTGATATAATATTGCAGGAAAAAATATTACGATATATTGCCGAATCGATATTTTCTTATATCCCTATTGGACATGTTATAATACAGTAGAGTAAAGTGGTCAAACAAGTGCAAATTTCTGGTTTGTTTTAGCACTGAAAATAAAAATGCTGATTCATGTTTGCTTTACCCTGGTGATGTCTGCTGTGAACCTCATTAACCAGGTTAGAATTTCAGGCACAATGCAGGATTGGAGATTTAGGATCCAGACAGTCGTAGTTCCTCTCCAGCAAAATTAAATGATACATAATATGAAATCCACAATAAAGCTTTAGAGGTAGGACAAAAGAAGTAATAACTCTAAGATTAACTCAACAACCCAGTTACTGGATGAGACATGGAGGTGTCAGGAGAAAACTGTTGAAAGGTTTTACTAAACAGAATTCAGGAGCTAGATTTGCATATGAAGCTAGTATTTCATAAGAAGGGGACATAAAAGGGAGGATGATTTTTTTTTACACTTCTTTTTGGGAAAGACGAGTTCAGGGAAGACTCTTTCCCAGAGACACAAAGACAGAATGGGAACAATCTGAGATCACTGACAACCCTCTGATTACTGGTGAACCCGCTCTTCCTCCTGACCCACTGTCATGCATGACTACTTGATGTGCTTGCTGTCTTCAGAGCATCACAAAACCAGTAAAGATGATGTCCCAGTACTCCTTCTTTCCTCTTGGCTTCATTCCTGAAGTCAGCTGTCAGGTAATAAAGTAACAAAGTCTAAATATTAATAAAAAAATACTTCATAAGGAGACTGACAGGGATTCTGTATAATATGTTTTAAACATTTGAATTCTTCATCTGAACAGGTCCTGGAGTTGCCTTACAAAGGGAAGGAACTGAGCATGCTCATCCTTTTACCTAAGAGGATAGATGATGATACAACAGGTCTGGAGCAGGTAGGACTCATTCTCACATAGATTGATAGGATTTACATGGACGGACGCATCCTATGATTTTTCATCCATGCAGCTGGAGAAGCACTTGACCTATGAGAAGTTCATGGAGTGGACTCATCCAGGAAAGATGCACACATGTAAAGTTGACGTGTACCTACCTCGATTCAGACTTGAGGAGACGTACGAACTGAATGAAGTCCTGACCCGCATGGGCGTGGTGGATGCTTTTGCTGCGTCAAAATGTGACTTCTCTGGTGAGACATGTTAACCTGTCGCATGCAGTGGGGTGTAGAGAACCTGGCTAGGCTCTTCCAATTATGTAGTGTAATGGTTTATGCTCTTTTATGAAAGAGGAACCATTCTACATATTAATTTGGAATATTAATTTTTAATAAATTAATAACCAAATTTTATAGGGTTAAGAAGACTCAAAGGTTGTTTTCATCGATAAACTGACGATAATATCCGTGGGTCTGTGTTTCAGTTCAATGAAGAAACAAGTTTGAAAGTTAAAAGTTTTAATTCTTCAAATTAAACTAATGATTTTGAAATGACAAACATAGGAAATAACAATCAACATTGGCAACTTTGTTGAACAATCTAACAGTTGATATTTTAAACTTGTTCAAATAGACCTTGTGTTGAATGTGTGAAAATTGAGAATGAGGTGAGATGAATGTGTGTGTGTGTCTGATTTTGCTTCAGGAAGAAACAGGTGTCTGAGTGAAAAGTGATGGTTTGAATAAACTTAGGTTTCGTTGGAAAAGATGCATCAAACGCTATCTATTGTGTTCTGCCTCACCGTACAAGGACCCTCGTTCAGATCCGGACCTCAGGAGGATGTTTATCCAGGTCACACCTTGGCTGGCAGAGGAGACGAAGGTGTGCGACGATCCGGTTCAGAGATGCCCCCCGGTACACGTTGTTGGAGCGTTTGCAGATGCGCTTTCTTAAGTTTAATTTACTCAGAAAATCAAAGACTCTGAACGAGTCTGCGTTAGCGGTTGCAACTCAGCTATCCTGTCTGGCTTGACAAGAATAGCGTGAGAGGGGGGGGGGGGGGGGGGAGGAGCCGCAGCCCCGTTCCCCCGTTAGCGGTTGTTCACACGTCCTCTTTCTCTCGTTGTCAACACGAACTCAACCATGAACTGAAAACTTACCAAAAGCCTTTCTCTTCTCAAAGCAAAACTTGTGCGTCAGCAAATGTGTTTTGAATTTACTGTGAGAGTGTGTGTGAGCGAGTGTGAAGGTCACCACTAAAACATCTTCAAAACATTACTTAATTAAGCATTGCCTCATTATAGTTATTATGATTAACCAAAGCATAATAATAATTCATTTGATTAAAATACATTTATAATGAGTAAAATGGTAAAATGATTATTTAGCATTAATAAACAAAGGAAGCGTAAGACTCTTTATTATGACTAGCTTTCATGAGAACAACATCTTCTGGCACTGCAGGTGGCAGATGTTATGGTTTGCAGCAGACTCTTGCAGACTTCATGTCGGCAAAGGTCTCACTCTGTGGGTGAAAGTTCTGCGTGACCCAGCTTTGACCCAGCCGGGCCAAGTACAACCTTTGGCACAGAAAACCCATATTTCCTCACGTTACAGATCCCCCCTTTCGCGACGACATGGTGGTCATGCAAAAACCACCTGACGCTGTGACCTCATTAACGTGATGAACTCATGAAGGTAGACATGCATGTTCCAGATGAAGGCAGGAGTGATGAAGCGTCTCCCCAGGTCTCATGAAGAAAGGGTTATATCCTGATCAGATGATTAAGGCCAAAACTGGTGCAAATCATTGTAAAGTAATCCACTTAGTGTTGGTCTCTCTTCCGCTAGACCAAGCACGGGTACGGAGTAGATGGAGTTAAACACCTTTAGAGTTGACAGAACGAGGAGACAAATGATCAGAAGTCCATTCACTGTTTCACCGCTCGAGAGGGGAGAGTCGTTCTGCAGCAAGTCCCGCGACCCGCTCTTGCCAGATGCTTCGGACAGACTCTCGCCGCTCCGCTGAAAACGGCTGATTTTTATTGAAGATTACAGGAATGTTACATACGCAGTTTGCCATGTACATACGTCAATGATTATGACAGGTGAAAATAACAGCCTTGTTAGCGGACAGTCTAAAACATTCATCCTTGAAAGTACCAGGAACATCGTGATACATTTATGACAGGAGAAGATACATTCACGGTGCGGAGAGGCGCTGAGTGTAGGTGGAATGTGCACACTCCTTTCTCTGGTGCAGGAAAAGATACACAGCTATTAATCTTTGTGTGGAGGCCTTGAGTATCTGAGCGAGTTTTCATAGCATAAAATGAGCTTATAAGGTAAGTATATATTTATTGTCTTGTTAGGCAGGATCTAACATGTCACAAGAACTTGTAATTAGAAGATGAGCCGAAACATCTCCCTTTTGGAGTTCCTGCAGCTGTTTTAAGAGCTTGTGCAGGAAAGAAACACAGAGAGGCCTTTAACAGTATAACATGATCCCATAATAAAAAGAGTAGCATGTAAGAATGAATAATAAAAGAGCTTATATGAGAGTTACATATATTTTCAATCCCCCTTTTGAACTCTTTTAAGAGTTCAACAAAGATGTAGGAAATCAAAACAATAACAACTCCAAATTCCATCAAAAAGAATATAATAAGCAGAGTTTAAAAACACCAATACAAACAATCAAACAGATTACATTTTCTCATATCTCTAGCAGTAAACTAATACAAAAAAACATGATTATACTTTCAACTGAACATGTCACAACATGTATGGATCGCATGCAACTCCATATGAGGGCGAAAAACCCTAATTATCATATGTTTATAGGGAAAATTCCCCCATGTCCCCCCTTTTGTCATATCTCAATTTTGGGGCGAACGCCTGCTGGCATAGAGTGTGCATGCCTAGGACATCAATGATCAAAAGAAACAAATACAATAAAAACAAAAAAACTCATAGAAATAAACAGTTTAAGGGATTGTTACAGAAATCACTCAATATTCTCACACTCTAACAACATCTTCTTCATCATGAGAGTCATCACTTTCATCAGAGGGTTCCCCTCCCAAATAGATGTTCGGATTGGCTAGTAACAAGGGCATCTGGATAATCGGGTCAGCAGGTGGAGGAGAGATGGCAATGGTAATCAATCTCTGGACTAGTTGCCTAAGACAGGGGATACAGCAACAACCGCAAGTAACAAGAATGGCAGCGAAGACAGACATGGACACCAGGACGGAGGAAACGAGCGATTTATATTTACCAAATACATCAAGCCAAGAGTCCCACATAGAGGTGTCTACACCAGAGTGGGATTTCATTTTTTCTGTCAAAGAGCGGAGGCCATCTAAGGCCTTAGTTAAACTACCGTCCGAGGCCGTATTGTTGGGTATGTAAACACAGCAATCGTGGGCAAACATGGCACACACGCCCCCTTTTTCAGCTAACAGCATGTCTACAGCAATTCTGTTTTGGAACGCCATCAAGGAAGTAGCCGATAATTGTTGGTGAACTGCCTCAAGTGCAGTACGAGTATAGTTACTTAAGAGTTGAACATTGAAATGGATGTAGTTAATGCGATCAACATTTTTATTGGGAGTTATCCAGACAAAAATAGATTCCCATCCGGCGGCTATTTGGTCAACTAATTTGTATTCGTCGGGAACGCCTCTGGGGACACCAATGGCATCTATATAAGTGGGATTGTGAAATGCAGGTAAAGCTGGTACAGATCGCTTTCGTCGGGTGTTAGAGTGAGAGCTGGAAATAGGTGTATCACGAAGTGTTACAGGAGTTACAGTGACAGGTAACAGTAAAGTAATAAGGGCACACAAACCTGAAGATTTCCTGGGAAAACCATTATAGAGTTGTGGAGCACCACACCACCACCATAGATTGGCACGCTTTTTGGGTTTGAATTGTGATGAAACTGACACGGTTGTATTAACGCACCAATTTGTGGTGACATTCCCCAGAAAAGGACCTCCTCGTCCAATTAGATGTATACAAGTGAAGTTATTAGGGGCCACAGTGTTTGAAAAGAAGGGCGTACCAATGTCATCACCTGGTTTTTGCTTAGGAAAGATTTGTCCAAACTTAGTACAATTAGAATTTAGGGAAGTCCCGTTCATCAAATGGAGGAAACATTTTGGAGGGATCGGAGGTGGTACAATACGGAGAGTAGGACGAGCTGAAAGGCAAACAAGACAATCTTGATCTGAGGCATCAGCAGCTTGTTCTGCCAGGAGTAACCAATTGTTAGTGCTGGCAGAAATGCCTGTAACCGTCTGAAATGTCTCATCAACAGAAGGGCTTTTAGTGTCAATAGTTATCGCTGGTGAGGGTTTATTCACTTTATCCATGTCAGTTAACACAGGAGTGGGGTGAGATCTACTTAGCCCGACAATATCAAAGACCGTAGAGGTAGGTGAAGTGATATTACGGACACAAAGGTGCACTGTCCAGTAGTACCTTCCACTAATCCAGGGAGCAAGTACAAATAGGGTACATCCGAGAGAGTTTATTGGGCTAATTATGAAAGTCAAAGGGCCTGTTTTGGATCCGCCTTGTTTTATCAATTTGATTCTGGTACGCCAAGTTGTAGCTACTCCTTTGGAGTAGGATGACCAATCATCGCCTGTTTCAGCAACAAGACTGCTCCACTTCCATTGAGAATAAGATCCCCACGTTAAGTACCAAACATGCTCTTTCAAATCAGATGGCGTGTGACGACCATGGGCAGGGTTCGAGGGCAAAACATCGTAGGGGAGTGTAACCGTGGTGGCTGTGGATAATGGAATACACAGAGTGATTGCTTGGGTTAAATAGAGAAAATCAGAGTTATAAGGAGGTGAGGGGGATGGGAGAGGTAGGGATCGCTTGTGCCGGTCAATAGGTGGGGGATGGGCTGCTGGTGTTAGCGGGGTATTCTTAGTGGATGTAGGGGGTGAGGGTGGCAAAGGGAAGTCATTACAGAGGAACAAAATAGCCAATGGGATACATAGCAGGATAACAGTGAGAAGTAGGATCAGGAGACGCTGCCTGCACGTGAGAATGGGAGGGAATGGCCAAGACATAATTAGGCTTATCTTGGTGTTAATTTAAGAAATTGTATGGGTTATAGCTGCTGTAATCAGTACCAGAGAACGCGCTATAAGCTAAAATTGCTATTGTTAACAAATCTTCTAAATTAGAGAAATCGCGAAAGTATCTGTCGTTCCTAAACCCCAACCTGCTG